ATAAAGCCGATGGAGTTTTTCCTTACTCCGCACCGATGACCGGCGCAGAGAGGGAGAAAAACATGGGGAACGGAGGAGGAGGAGGAGGAGGGGAGGGAGGGAGGGAGGGAGTAGATAGGTGATTTACGGATTTGCTCGTCGACGCGAGACGAGAGACGGAGGGACAAAGAGAGTGGCAAAATGGAAAAGGGAAAAAGACACGATGCCAGGGGGAGGAGTGAGAGAAGGAGGAGAGAGAGAGAGCACGTGTGCATGCACGCAGCACACGCGCGCGCGCGAGTGTAAACACGCTACGCCTCGTGCAGGGCGCTGGAAATGGGCAACGGGTGAGGTAAAGGCAGGTAGGTGGAGGAGAAGTTTACAATTTTCTGCACGACGGCCGCTCGATCGTTCAAATGCCAATAACGTTGCGGATGCCAATTGCCGATAATTCAAGGTGTACCTGCCCACGATAACGCGCGCGAGAAAGAGAGAGAGAGAGAGGGAGAGAGGGAGAGCACCGATCAGTGCTGACAGATCGTTAGGTACCGGATGATGGGCTCTCACTGCCTGTTTTAACACTGAGGAGACACGTCAAGGATGACGGAGAGAAAGAAAAAAAGAGAGAGGAAAGGAAGAGCCGCAGACTGCGAAACTTTCTGGTTTTCGTGAAAACGACGATTCGAATCGTCGAAACAGCGGCGTCGTCGCTTCGAATATTTGTATCACAATTGGGAGGAAAAAATGTCGCTGGGGAATCGCTGAGCGATAACGTAACGATCGAAACCAGATTCACGAAGAGGACTCGAACCCGGAGTGGCGCGGCACGACGACGCGATAAGAGAATGATTTTCCTATCTCGATCGCGCAGGTGGTTCGCGATATACGAACGAGACGAGACCACGAATTACATTCGTGGTTGCCGGCTTCGCGGTCTCAACTGCGCATTTCGGCGACGCGGTAAAAAAAAATGTATATATAATTGCGTTAACGAGCAACGAGTCCCCTCCCCCCCCCTCATTCGGCTGTTTCTCGAGATAGCTCTCACCTTTCTCCTCGTCTCGTTGAAGCTTCGGTTCTAAGCGTAATTGAATTAATTCCACATTTTCGCCCGATCCCTGCAATTAATTTAATGATAACGCGCCGCGTGGAAGATTTTTTTTTTTCCTGCTTTCTTATTCCCAGAGTCGGTTTCCCGGCGGAAAAGGCTTTTTCCCGCGAGCAGCGTCAACATTGTTTCCGCGTACGTATATTTTTAAAAGACGAGACCGTAATCTTGCATCTCGGCCTCTGCTGTATCCGGTAATAGATAATTTTCCTATAATGAGGTAACCTCGATACGCCTTAATTACATTTTAAAAGATACAATGTTTTTTTAATAAATCGCCGATCTATTTAACATAGAAAACTGAATATATCAGTGCTTTATTAAAAGTCCTGGATTTCTAGAGCTGCAAATCATGAGAACCTATTCCTCGCTGAAAAGCAAATAGTGTTAATTCTCTTTTACAATTTATTAATAGATCGGAATCGAGTTAACAAGATTTCTCAGCCAATTAACATGTAAATGCAAAAGTTTCTAAAGGCGGTCAATATTCTTTCAATTTACATTCAATGTTTCGTCCATCAAACGAATCCACAATCTCGTTGGAGGATTAATTAATAAACATCGTCGTCAACTACAAGCCTTTTGATCGCTCTAAGGTAGCGAAGGGGAAAAAGGGAGAAATATTTCATGCGCATTTACCGAGCATCTTGCTGAGATCGGCATTGTGGAGATCAGGATTCTCATCGGCCAATTTCTTGCGCTCGACCTTTGCCCAGACCATGAACGCGTTCATCGGGCGACGTATCCGTTGCTCCTTGAGGCTCCTCTGGGCGGTGCCGCCGCCAGGATGGCACATCTTCACTCCTGCAGGAATCGGCGAGATACCAGGTTGGTACTCGAGCGACGGGCCGGAGGCCAGCCACGGCATATCCTCGAGCCGCTGCTGCGCCGGGCCAGACAGCATGCTCGGTATCTGGTTTCAAGAAATACATTTTACACATTCCATGAGACACCCTCGTGGACATCCAACGTTTATTTACCCAGCGACATGTATTGTCGAACGGTATAAATTTATTTGGCCAACAACCACGTTGTTAAAATGGTTAGTGACGACTAACGACAAGACTACAGATTCTATAACGGAGTATGGAAAGATTTGTCAAAAATCCTACAAGAGAGAAAGATATGATATGGTATCTCACTCTGCATGGAACGATTAGCTGAAATATCTAAAAATTTAGATAGATACAGATCTGAAAATGAATTTTGTTGGACTATCAAAATAGTTATACGTAGAATACTCAAACAGGATTGTTAGAATGTCGAAACTTTTTACAGCATTACTCGTGCTTAAGATTTCTACGTAATTATTTTGATAGCCCAAATGATTTTCAGATCTGTATCTAGCTAAATTTTTAGATACGTCAGCAAAATAATTCTTTCTGTGTGTAATCTCAACCAAGATTATAGAATGAGAACTCTCGTAAAATTTTGACAAAATCGCTCGCGGTTAGACTTCGCTTTGTCTAGAATCTCTAGACAAGACGAAACGTGGGATTAATGAATCGATCGCGTTCGCATCAAACATACGATTTTGCTATCGTTCCCTCCAGCTATCATTGTTTCGCGCGGCGGTTCGACTTTGTACTCGTGCATTCGTTTCCGAATAGTTACGCGTGCGTTGCTGTGAATGCTTTACGTAGGTGTGTTTATAACAACGTCGAGCGCAAGAATGTAAGTACACGGCGTGTGCAACACGAAGGCGCGGATATCTATTTCGAGAACGATAGACTACACAGAATCCGAAATGGAATCGTAACGCCGTACCGAGATGATTTGGGTGTCGATGGGCATCGAGCTGTCGTTGCCGTCGATACCGGAGTCGATGTCGTAGGCTCTCGACGTGGGAGTTGCGTAAAGCGATGAATGGAGCGCCAGGAGGCCGGGGGAGCCGCCATAGCCGCTCACCGCCGGTGGTGGTGTCACCTCACCCCTGTCATAATTGTCCAGCATCCTGCAAAAATCAAGAGAGAATCCAGTTGTATTCTATGTCTTACCATATCTTTGATCGAATAATTTATCTACTTTTTTATGCACATTTATTATTCAGTCAGGGCGAAAGTGTTCATTTATATATTAAAATATGTAATATAATATGGCTCAAGTAATATAAAATTAAAAAAGAAATAACGTTGAAAAAGAACTACGAATCAAATACAATAAAATATCATATTAATGATATGTATACCTATAATGTAAAAGTTAGAAATGAATTTTATATATTATACATTTTATAAATTATTTAAGACTATGTTTCAAGACTGACGATAATAGGCACACAGTTTACTTGAATTGGAAATTGTATATATTCACAAGAAGTATTATTATTCAGGCGCGTAAAGATCGCATTAACCGAAGATGGCATTTTTGTTTTACTAATGTGTGTTATATATTATTGTTTATATTATTATTTATATCTTACATATTACTTTTTTATGAATTACTTTCACGGGTATTTTTCTTAAGAAAGGATTTGCGGATTATCGCCGTATTTATACATTAAATTTTTTTGTAATATATTTTTACATACTTTTTCGTTGTAATATTTTCCTTAACGCTCTTTGTACCATGTTTCTCCGTTTTGAACGGAATATGTTTCCTTAGGATAAGTAAATTACAACTGTACCACTTTGCTAACTTTACGTAATCGTGTTTTGTCGAGATTATGTTACCTTGCGACGTCTGTTATTTTTGGGACGTATTCGCAGTATTGCTGCAATCTCCATAGATACAATATATTATATACCGCACGTATAAAGTCAAATTGAATGTCATAACGGACACCAATATCTATTATATATATATATATATATATATATATATCTGATCCAATAGCGGGCGATCTGGTAATAGTTTATTGATCGTTCAACGGAAAGCACTCGTACCATACGTTCGCGTGCGAGTGCAATCGAATGCAATCGCGATTCGCCGAGGAATAAACCATGATAAGCCGCGGCCGAGACGCTAGGAGTCCCGATACTCCCGATCGATTCGAACCGGCATGGGCACTAACATTCTCGACGACGATGATTCCTCCGACGATCGCGGTATCACCGGTACAAGCTGCGCCCAGTAGTAATTGACTCCGGCGTTTCTCTCGATCTCGAGAACGAGCGAATGAAATCCCGTGGGTCGCTCTCGTGCCTGAGCGGCCGATTGATCTGTCAACCGTTCCGTTAGGAAAAGAGTTGATCGACATGAATGAACCATTCAAGGCCACTTAATGGAATTCCCACGATTGTCCTTAAGGCATTATGCGACCGTGCGCCGGGTATAATAGTACGAACAGCTGTCTGTCGCGCGCAAACACACATTTTCGCAGCTTCATACACACACACATATACACAGTGTTCTACGCAAACCGTGCTGAACATACCTAATGCACACGTACGATGTTCTGTGAGTATGTGCATGTAATACGTTGCGCGCGAATGTTCCATATAATGGCCATTGTTTCATTCGGCGTTTAGCGAGATGCTGCGACGCACGTCGGTCAAAAAAAAAAAAAAATAGAAACGTATCGGCCGGTATTTTCATTCAATAAACCTCACGCCGTGGCGGTTAGGTGCGCGCGTTTTTGTCACCCTTTATACCGGAGGAGAGAAACATATAGTTACGAGAAAGAAAGAGAGAGAGAGAGAGAGAGAGAGAGAGAGAGAGAGAGAGAAAGAGAGAGTCACATTTCCGTCGCTGATAAAACCGACGGCTTGCTTCGACGTATCGAAGTATATCGTATCGGTCCGATACGAATCACGGCTACCAAAGAGAATTTATCGCGATGAAATAGATTGAGATTTATGTGAAGCGTTTTAGAAAATGTTCCAAAGTACGAAAGACGAATTTGACTCTGGAATTTTACTCTGGAGATGATAAATTGCGTGAACGCCAGATTTGATCACAATTAAAAAATATAACAAAATAAGTTGTAAACGATTTTATTTCCGCGTTACAGCGAGCTTCGTGTTTCAGCGAGATATTTCTCGGATGGACGATTCTCTAACAAATGAGCTAGTCTCAGATCTCATTATCCGCTATGAACCCGTTGGATGCAGGATCGTTTGAAATCTGTTATCTACTCTACGGAACACAGTCACTGACAACATATTCTGTCGTTCCATCGAGCAAGCTTTCCAGCAGATCCAAGTAACACCTGGATGTGACAAAAGGATAACGAGATCAAGACGATTACAGGCTTGAAACACGATAGGTCTTTATATTGCGAATCTACTATGAAAATAAACAAGCATGGATAAAAAAACGAAAACAGTTGTAAACAACAGTTTGAAACAAAGCGAGATCAGACATATCTTTATGAATCATAGACGTAACATAGGTACTTTTAGATTATTCATTCCTATGAAATTGTCACTATCGGAAAAGAGTAGCTTGATTCGTATCGCTTCTCTCTCTATTAAGTTAAAAACAGATATGATATATACGATTAAATGCAGACTATTTTTTTAACGAAGTACACGTGCTAAGATTGCGCAACGCCTTATCTATATCTACTTTGTCTATTGATACAAACTTATTCCATTGTTTCCAAGTGTCGAATCTCTGATGCATTAAGACTATACCGTACAAATAAATTTAAATAATATATAAGATGTAAACAGTAAACAAATACATATTTTGGATTTGCTGCTGATTACGTTTTTTTTTTTCTGTACCGTTTAATATAATCTAATCGCTTTCATGTGGTAGACAAAAGAAAATTAAATAGACATGCGTCTTCGATAATAATGAAACTTGTTTATCAACGCATTTCTCGCAAAAAGAATCGTGCAACGATGGCAGAGATACGATACGAAATTAAAAGTCATTAAGAGCCGCAGTCAGGATTCCCCCGGGTTTCGTCGGCGTCGGCGCAGCTGCACCACCCACGCGTATGATAGATACGCCACTGCCTTCAGCATTGTTTCTTTAATGATTCATGTCGGGGTGACTGCACCAGGAGTAGAGGAAGCAGTCTCCAACCGCGAATGCAATGAGCCGCGCATCGTTTCGAAAATATTAATTCGCCAGGAGTCATTGCCGGACGCTGATGCATCGACGGGCGTCGCGCGCATTAACGTCGCGTCCTTTGTCAAACTTTGCACACGTGACGATGAGACACGCGTCATTGCAGCTTCGCGGAACGGCTCGTATCGTCTCGTATCGTCTCGTTCATCGATTCGCGCTAGATAAGATCTGCGAATGATAGCGAAAAGATAGGGATTAATGCAGGGATTGTCACAAAATTGGAAATCAGGAAAGGAATCGCTTGGGAAATCAGGGAGGTATTTTGCAAAATTTTCTGGAAAGTTAAAATTAAAACTTACAAAAAGAAGAGCATAAAATCACAGCGCAAGATATTGTTTGTGATGTTTAATATATCATTACATTGATAAAATAATTCGGCCAGATTGTGGCCGAAACGTCTAAAAAATGTTTTATTAATGTAACGATATATTAAATATTATTATAATTTTTCAGCAAAATACAATATTTAACGGTTTCTAAATCAGAATGGAAATACAAAAAATTTCAAGATATTCAAAGTCAAGAGAAATCATGAAATTTTGTCCGGAAATCAGGGAAAAGTTTACAGAATTGAAGAACTTTGAGAAATTTGTGACAGCCCTGTTAATACTAGAAGAACCGGATTTGACGATCCTCTTAGAAGGCTCGTAAGAGCCAAGTTGTCATTTTTTAATTAAATAAAAATTCAACCATTTAATATAATTGATAATTTTTTTTACTAAAACTAAGAAAAATGATGAAAGGTCACAAAAGGCTATCACTTGGAAACAAGATTGAAAAAAAGTTATATTAGTTTGAATTTCGCGAGGAGTAGCCAACCTCCTTAGCTACCTCGATCCTTCTAGTGTTAATAAAGGATTTGCAGCGATTGCGTTAATTTACACGATATATTATGAGACGCACCGGCGTGTTGCACGCGCGGTTACCGTTCGTGCGCGATGTTTACTACCCGTAGCGAAACGCGCTTGTAACCGTTTAATCGAACGACGAGTTAAAGTTCCAGACGAAGGAGACGAAAGAGTTCTCTTTCCGCTCTCTCTCTCCTCTCGGTCCTTCAAAAATCTCGGCTCCTCGAGCGATCCAAGCGGACGCGGGACGAAGAGAGACGTTCCGCAATGCGTGTCAAGGAAAAACGACAGTTATCCTTCCACACGCCGACGCGCGTTACAAATAGCTCGAGAGGAACCGGCGGGCCGCGACCTGGAGCGGCAGACACGCCGTGCCGCACGCACGTCAGACTCGGCCGAGCAGGGAGACAAAGAACAACAGCCGCGCACCGGCGGCGATCCCCTAAATCGGCATGTCCGTTGAGCCTCATGAATCTCCGCCGCGACTCCTCTCCATCGCGAGGAGAAGGAGGAAAAAGCACCGGTGTGTCCTGTGCACGGTTCGGCACGCAGAGCAAACACAGGCAGCGATGGCGACCGGGTCGTTTCTGAGCACTCGGACCCGTTCCCTTTCGTCATTCTCCACGTCAACGACACACTTGTTCGCCGACTAAATTGTTCTTCTCCCTCCTTCTCCTCCGATGGATCGCGGAGAGAAGTAAGGAGAAAGCTCTTTCGACCTGGCGTGGCGGCGCGTTTTATGCAGCGACCAGTATTTTTATTCAAATAATCGCGTCGATCGAACACACCCTTGCATTGCCCGACGACGAGGCGACGGGACGCGGTGTAGTCGCGTAACGCACGCGTGGGTGGGTGGGAATCGGTCTGTCGCGTGGCGCCGATCGAAAATTTCGTCCGTCCGATGCTTGAACGGGGGTAACGATATATCGTAGATTCGATTTAGATATGGGAGAATTGAAAATAAGCTCGTAGATCTTAACGAATCGTGCATGACGGAATTGTTCGTTCGCGCGAGCGAACGGGGACGCTTGCGCGAAGACTGTAATTTTATATAAGCCCCTGATTAAACTTTCAAATCGAATGC